TCCCCCCATAACACTGTTGATTATTCCGTTTTGTATGAATTCCATGTTGTACGAGTCACTTAGATTTTACAAATACGTGAGCCGTTCACAGCCCGGCACACGTATTTGTAAAATCTAAGTGACTCGTACAACATGGAATTCATATAACACGGAATAATCAACAGTGTTATAGGGGGTCGACTGTATTACAACTAATAATAATAATAAAAGACAAAAACATACAAAGATATCAGGTTATAAAACAAACGCATGTTATGGCCACTGAACTATAATTTGCTTTAAAGAAAACATTAAAATACTCGCCCTGAGGGGGCTTTAAGAAGCCGGACACACACAGAGAACCCTCTTCGTCCCCCGTCGGTGCTTTCTGTCTTCGGCCAAAGTGTCGACCTTACGAGTGCTAAAATGAACCGGTGGAATTCTTTTTTATAATTAAAAAATAAGAGATCGTTATATGCTACTCGTTTTAATTACGAGCTAGTTTTTGAATAAAATATTCATATATACGCAATAAATTATCGACTTATTATATACGATGGCACGAGGCATCAATAAAATCATCAGTTTGAACCTCTGGGGAATCCAGGATCGAAACTATTTGAATCCTGAAAATTTCCACGAGTGGTTCAAATCGGATACGTCTAGCATTATCTGTCTTCATCTGGCTTCCTCCATCGTAAGTTTTAACAAACTTATTTTGAGCATGCATAAAAAAAGACTCTCTTAGTGCCTACAGAACGACTTTTCTGCTTTTAAATGTATAGATCATGGTTGCACAGACTTATGAAGACTAGGGGCCACTCGGGCAAATCATGAACTGATGGCGGGCCGGCCGCCAGAAGTATAGGTAATTAAAGACAATAAAGAATTGATAATAATTTATTAAAATTCAAAAAGAATTTATTAATTTGAAGCGTGGCACTGCATAGTGCTTACAATCTTTTTTATATTTGGCTCAAATTTACTTGTAGCAACACGTAAAACTGCTTCCAAACTTTCATTTGCAAGGCGGTTTCGATTTTTTGTTTTATTATTATTTAGTATTGAAAAAGTTTGTTCACATATATAGGTAGAACCAAATAAGCTGGCACATTTCAGAGCGTTTATGCGCAACTTTTCGTACATATTTTTATCAATGCAGCGGTAAAAGTTCAGCAAGTCTCCTTCGTTGAATTTGTTGCGTAAATCTTGATCGTTTTGAATGTCGATAATTTCTAACTGCATTGACTCTGGCGCATTTTCAACTGAAATCGTGAAAGGATTGCTGAATATGTCCAACAGAGGTTTCACTTTTTTAAAATCCGAAAATCTGTCTTGAAAAGATTGAATCAAAATATCTAGCTTTTCTACATAACTGAAATTAATCGCAGTTTTGTTGAATTTTTCAGCCATTTTCTTATAATTCGGAAAATGATTGTAATTTCCAGAATTCAATTGTGATCTGAAAAGTGTCAGCTTGCATTGAAAGGATGATACATGAGCGTAGAGCTGGGATATCAGTTGATTTTTGCCTTGAAGCCGTGTGTTCAAGACATTCAAATGATTTGTAATGTCAACTAAAAAAGCCAAATCACACAACCAATCAGGATTTTTAAGTTCCGGGACATCCCTTTGCTTTTCCGCCAGAAATATTCCAATTTCTTCTATTAAATTTAGAAATCGTTCCAGTGTCAATCCACGGCTTAGCCACCTTACTTCTGTATAATACAGTAAATCTCCGTATTCGCTTTCGATGTCATCAAGGAATTGTTTGAATTGTCTGTGATTGAGTCCTCGTGATTTTATGAAATTTACAGTCGAAACTACCACTTTCATGACATTTTGAAATTCAATTTTTTTAGAACAGAGGGTTTCTTGGTGTATAATGCAGTGAAACTGCATGAGATCTTCAGCGTTTATGTTTTTTCCTTGCAGATGCTTTTTCAGCAAAGTAACTAGCCCGGAATTGACACCAATCATCGAAGGAGCACCGTCAGTCGCAACTCCCGATAATTTTGATAAGTCCAAATCAGTTTTTGAACACTCATCCAAAAGTACATTGAGTATATCAACTCCTTTGGTTTGACCTTTCAATGAACACATTCCGAATAACTCTTCTAAGACTTCAAAATCTTGAGTAACACCTCGTATGAATATGAGAAGTTGAGCTGTGGAACTAATATCAGTGGATTCGTCGAGTGCTAATGAAAAAAATTCAATGATCTTAGTTTTTTCAATTAATTGTTCCGCAATATTACCTGACAAAGACATAATTCGTCTTTGGATAGTCATACGATTCAGTTGAATTTTCTCAAACTTTTTTGCTGCTTCTGGACACATTTTCTTAGCGGCAATTTCTATGCATTCTTTTACAAAATCGCCATCATTGAAGGGGCGACTTCGCTTTGCTATCATTCGAGAAATTTCATAACTAACTTCTGTAGCTGTTTCTGAATCTTGAATGGGTTTTGTAAACATAGCTTGCTGACCAATAATCTCCCGTTTTAAAGACAACATTTTTTGCTTTCTTAATTCGCCTGTAAACTTGGTAAAAGAAGGATGCTGCGTTTCATAATGCCTTTTTACATTATATTCCTTTGCAATCGCAACAGAATTCTTGCAAATTAAACAAACGACTTTGTTATGCGACCATACAAAAAAGTATTTCTCAGTCCAAATTTCTTGAAACTGCCGATTTTCATCTTTAACCTTACGTTTTTTACTAGGTCCTGGCTTCTCCATGTTGCGTTCTAATCCTGGCTAGGATTAACACAGCACCTAAAAACAATTACAGTACCTACTTAAATTACCCATTCTTTTTTAAATTATCAAAAATAATTGATTAAATTCCTCAGAAATTTTAAGATTTTTATACAGATTTTATATCTGAAATAATGACGTAATTATTACAGTTAGAGAAATTCTGATAAAAATAGTAATTTCTTTGTTTTATTTTAATATTTGGCCAACATTAAAGCTAAATTTGATTAAAATTGATTAAATAGGTAGGGAAACACTTATTAATAACAGAGTTTTACTTACGATTTCACAACACAATTATACACGGCACTTGACGGGTTAACAGGAAATCTACGTTGAATGTGGATCAAAATATATGACACCGGCTAGTCGAGTTAAAATCTACACTAGAACTATTGCCTCCCCAAAACACTATTAAACTGCACTTATTCTCCTACGCTTCGTGTATCTACTCGTACCTACGCGAGCAATCGGGAATTCGGGACTATTGCTATCTCGCTTGCTCACACCGCGCTAGAAAATTCTTGATTTCTCTACTATTTTGAACTTTATATAAAGTTTTTAGATTTTTTTGGTTTTAATCTGGAATAGAATTAAATATTCTTCGAATGTACGAGAGTATTATTTTTGCTGTCGGCGGGCCACCAGTATTCGACCGGCGGGCCGCATGCGGCCCGCGGGCCGCGGTCTGTGCATCCGTGGTATAGATATATTATATTATATCTAATTGTCAACCAAATAGTCGAGGTGGCTAAGGAGTCAAGTTAGTACTTGTAGGGAGAAGTCCCGGGGCCGTATTCTGGTCACTGTCTCTGGTCTCGTCTCTCACAAGCTGGTCACTGATTGGCTAATCATTTGGATTAACCAATCAGCGACCGGCTTGTAAGAGACGAGAGACGAGAGACCAGAGACGGTGACCAGAATATGGCCCCCGGTTTCAAATTAGGATCTGGAACTGCCGGGTGGCCGTGCGATTAAGGTGATAGCCTGTCGTTTTGGGGATTCAAGATCGAATTCGGACAGGTCGAAAACCCACAGGAATTTTTCAGGAGACGATCCGTTCGAATATGTCGGTCCCCGTTTGATGCGTTCTAAGTGACTCGTAAAATCTAAGTGACTCGTGCGTTCTTACTGTTTCATAAACCCAACAACTAGCAATTATACATTCTTTAATGGCACAACTGCTTAAATCAGCCATTTTTTATGTTATTTTATTTGAAACAAATGGAACATAAGATTGATTTTTCGATAGGGGTGCAGGATTTTGTGCCCATCCTGTATAATGACTTTACACACGAAGAAAGACTAATAACTTGATGTGATTATGATTAATTGATTATTGACTTCGACAAAAAGGCCTGATGGCCGAGCGGTCAAGGCGGCAGCCTACCGCTCTGGGGAACTCGGGATCGATTCCGGACGGGCCAAGAAATCCCCAGGAATTTCTCGTAGGGCCTCGTCACTCACCACCCGGTCGCCCCATTGTGGGCCTGGCCGAATTCATAATGGGCGTGCTATAAGAGGTTCTCTTAGTGCCCACAGGGCGGAAAGATTAAAAAAAAAAAAACTTCGACAAATAGTATATTGAAAGTGCAATAAAGTAATTTTTTTATATATATAAATTTTTGTTTCCCCTTTTTCTATTTTAAAAATATTTCGACAGAACATCAAATGACTTTGTGCAATGGATTGATTAAATTACAACCACCATCCACTACTAATTCCAATTGAATCAAGTGTTGCCAACATTCGAATATACGATTAATTTTCTCATTTTTACAACACGAATAATAAATATTTTATTGAATGGAATAAAAAATAATATTAATATAAGATAAATAATAATTAATTTTGGTAACGATTGATACGAAAAAAAAATATTATTTTAAATTTAATGTAAATAAAATATTTTTCTCGGCGATGGCGCCGTCGTACAAATTCTACTGGCACGTAATCGGTAATGGGTTGGACGGCGTGTGATAATTTGTCAATGCAAGTAAAGAGTTAAGTTATAAACAATTCCCTGATATGAAACCAAAATTTTTTTTTAACTGAGCATTAATAGAAGTAGGAATTTAATTTGTGATATGAATAAAATAATTATTTATGTTATAGTAAGTAATTTATTGAGTTATTCTTATCAAAGCGTGTAACAGTTTGTTTTCATTGAAGATAAATTCGTAGAATATTAAGTAAAAAAGTTTGTAATTGACTCAAATGTTGTAATTGTAATAATAATAATAATAATAATAGAGTTCAATGGAAAAGTCCAAACTTGCTTTTACAATGAACTCTTAATGCAAAGTGAATGTCAGGCAAACAAATGTATATTTACACAACAATTTAATCAATGCCAACGTTTGAGATTGCAAAATTACTCGTTTTGTAACTGTCCTATTTTGTCCAGCTTTGTATGTGTAATTTATTTTAATTTATATACTATTGTCCCAGTTAATGTAACATACTTTTATTAGGTTATGCATAATGTCTACTGTATACAAATTTATTTTAATCATTATGTACAATATCAAATAAATTTGATGAAGGAAAGTTAATCGGAGTTCGGGTTACTTTGCGTTGTTATCTCTATGTAAGTTATCGCAGATAAGTCTTTTATCGTTCGAATCGATTTCCTTAATCGTGCTCTTTAAGTACGATAAACGGTTTAATTGAAAATAAGTTAAATGTATTGTTAATTACGTTGATAGAATTACATAAATAATTTGCGTATTAAGATAATTAATTTACATAATAATTACGAATTTAATTACATTTTTCTGTAAGGTCAATTGTATATTTATTTATTTATTATTTTTTTTAATAATTCTTATCAAATTTACATGTTAAATTTTATTAGAGATAATGTGTGTAAATAATTTAAAGACAAATATTTGATGTATTTTAATTTCTAGTGTTTAATTTTCTTTCCTGAAAATTGGAATATCCAAAACATTATAAGTAATAGTTAAAATATTTATTATTTTATGTTAATAATATAAAATTACAGAAGACAAACTGTATTGTTAAGGTAAGTGCACACTTTGATGGGCAGGTATAGGCAAGGCGGACAGAGTGGGTAGAATCGCATTGGTGTGGATGAAGTAGAATTTAGTGCAAAAAGTATTCAGATGAGATATTTTAGTGGTAGTGAACTGCCTATTATTAAAAGAGGTTGCTATAAACTATGTAATTTTTTTTTGTAGTGTTGTTCTAGAGAAATTAAGTTTCCAACTGCCATAGAAAGGGAAATGGGCAGAAATGACAAGCTAAGTAACAGTGTTCTCCTTAAAAAAAAAAGAAAGTATTTCTGTTAATGATTGGAATGCCAGGAAGTTTCAACAGCTGGGCACTTGGGTTAGTGACCTTTAGTGTTAGACAGACAGACAGGTAAAAATGTTGCCTCCTTGAGAATGCAAGATGGATCTCCTCCCATGCAACCTGTTCTCTTTGCCCATCCACCCACCTAATGTTTATGTATACCAATAACTTTATAATGCATGCAAATTTTTTCTCCTACACTTTGCAACTATGTCCACCTTGTCAGTCTGCTCAACTGTACACTTGCCTTTAAAGTCTGTTTAGTTATTAACAGATATTTTTAAAGCAAAGACTTTTCATTAAAATATTTGTATCTATCATTTTAATACGATACTGAAATATATTGTTTAAAATATTAAATAAGCTTTCTGCTATAGCTATTTTGATATTTCTGTACATTTTTAAAATCCATTTGTCCCAAGTAAAAAAAATGACGATAAAATGTTTTGTAATTTTGTAAGTTTTTGCATTAGATATTTATTGCCATCTTTACCATGAAAACATTAAAAAAATTTTTTTTTCCTTGAATGTAATGCTATTTGCCAGATGCTATGCATTTAAATTTGATTTTGGAGCACACTAATGACATTTATGACGACTCTGAACGTAGTAGATTTTTTTTTTGGTCCACATCACATGTGGTACATATGGTTTATTATTTTCTTTACGTTTCACTTGTCATGTATTATTTGTGGCTCACACTAAAAATAGATATATTTACATTATAATAAAAATTATAAAGCATCTGTTGGATTTTCCAGGCTATATTTAGGATGATAATTTAACAAAATTATGGCTGGAAAATTAAACTAGGTTGTTTATCATTTAGCATATGTATAAAAATTATTTTTTAATAAAAATGGTTGTTTAGATAGTATGTTGTACTATACTATAAAATAGTGATTAAAAAAATTTTTTTAAATCAATATGAATGCATCTGATACACTTCTTTTGATGATACAAATTATATATCAATTGAAGTATTGTGCTCTAAATATGGTACACAATGACGGATGCTTTATTTGTGGCCATATACCAAAGATAAACTCCTAATATAAAAATTCAGCCAATCTAAGTAACAATGAATTTTACTGTGCTCATCACTGTTGGAGCATGATGGGTGATAAGAAAGATCTAAATGTTCCATCTGTGTTACACAATGTTGCAAACATGTTTAAAAAAAATTTATCTTATAAACTGCATAAAAAAAAGCTAAGAAACAAATAAAAAGTTATTAATTAATAGTGTGATAGGTTTTTTTAATACAAAGCAGTATTTTAATTAAACGTAAGATACAATTCTTGTTTTTATGTTGTTTTATCCTTAAATTGCAATGACTAATAGATCATTATTATTCATGAATACAATACTAAGCTGAGATATGAGATTTATTGTTCCTGGATAATTATTTTGGAATGTTTCCTTTTAAATATATACCATGAAATTATAATTACAATGTGTACATTTTCAATAAGTGATATTAAAATATTGTTTATAATTCAGATTTATATTTATAGAGATAGATGAATATGAATTGTATTTTAAAAAATTTGTATATAAATTTAGAGATAAATAATGAGAACATACAAATCCTTAATTATAAAACAAAACATAAATTTAAGTAAAAAGTTAATAAGAGAAATTAAAAAACCATTGGATCCAAATCAGGGTTGATGTTTCTACTTTATATCATGTGATTATAATGCTGAACCAGTTCTCTTCACTTGTGTAATAAATAGGTATGCTTTAGTGTATTTTTATTCTACAGAACTGACAAGCTCAAACTGTTAAACAAAGAATTGGGCAAATTCAGCAAATGTAAACATAACCTTTAGATGAAAGAATGAAATGTATTCACTTACCTTTGAATCTTAATTGAAAAATTACAATAGTGAAACATACTAATGCAACAAATAAGTAAATTATGAAAATGAAAAAGTGAGTCAGTATTGTCATATTGCACCTTATGAACGAAATGATAGAAAAAGAAAAAAAACTGACTATAAAGCAAAGTCAAAGAATTGATATTGATCTCTCTAAAAATGACTGAATAGAGAACTGGCTAGCAAACTGCTTCCTTTTACTGCATTAGTTGATATCTGGTACATCAGGCTATCTGCAAAGTTCAGCAGAAGCAGGTAATTTACAACTGTTTGTTGATTTTTTATAACAAAATGAATTATATTTTTTTTACATCCACTTTATCATTATTACTTCGGTGATTCCCAGATTAAGAATTTGTCTAATATGCTAAAAACAAAATGACAATATCCATTAAGTTACCACAGTAGATTCATTGAAACAGTGAAATATAAAGACAAAATTGGCAGTAAATAAAATAATTAGATTTTTGCAACTTAGTCAATGTAGCAAAATTCTGTAATTTAATGTTCTGAGAATTATTTCCTATTAGCTGTCAGTTTATACAAATAAATCACATCAAATTTTTAGTGTGATGAGAGATGAATGACTTACTAATATTATAATAATCATTTATGAAATTAACAATTTACTTCTATTACTTTCACTATCTACAGTATAGATAGATTCTCTACTTTTTTCCTTATTCTATCAATCCATATCACTACTGATAATAAGTCAATGCAACACTGATAATTTGCTAAGAGAGTAGTGCATCCTGGAAAGACTTTCTATAGGAAATTGTCGTCTATTTAGGTGTTAAACACCTAAAGAAATTTAAGTCCAGACAATGAGATAAAGAAAACCAGAAAATGTCATGTGGTCTAGCCTTTTGGTAAGGCATAAACCTGTGACCAACTACCAGTGTTCAATGGATTTATCCACTTAGCCACTGGTGGACTAGAGATATGACATTTTTTTTTATTTGATTTTGATGATAGATTAACTGGAAAGCAGTGAAAATTTAATTTTAGTTTCTGTTAAACATATCTTAACCATTTGGTCTTGCTGTGAAGTGAGTAACCAGTATGATTATATCTAAATATTTATTAATAGCTCGGAAGTGAAGATTGGATGAAGGTCTGAGTAGTATAGCTGATGATGCAATTGCATGGTAAGCAGGAGTTGCAGTTTCAAGTCCTGCTCTGAGCTGATTCTTTTCTCTGGAAGAAAATAATGAAAATAGAGTTTAAAAATTAAAATTAAAAATTTATTTATAATTATTAAATTGATGGCTAAACTGGCCACTTAAAGCCAAATTACTTTCTTTTGAATTATTAATTGGCCTTAATGTAACCTGAAAAAATTCAGCAGATCATTTTAAATAAAAGAACTAAATATTAATAAAACTATGACGATTTCATTTTTACATGTAGTACATAAAACTGGCTTGTATTAAGTAATAAATAGTAAGAAAAAGTTTTTTGATTACAATCTTTTAAGAAAAAATTACTAAAAAGGCTGTTTTCATTACCTATGAAATGACAATCTTTCTTCTGGAGGCTTGGCAGTGTTCTTATCTCCTTTACTTTTATAGCCAGAAGCACAAATTAACTATTATAATGTTAAGAAATACTTTGTTACATTAATTCTAAAGCAAGCTGCAGCAAATAACCTGACTTACCAAATATAATTACTGTAGTAGATTATAAGGGAACACACGCTATTTGTAGGAAGGGTAAAAAATTTATTCAAAATGTGCTTTGGAAATATTTTCAGTTTGATTTATTAATTCAATTAACCAGCATAATTTTTTTCATTTTATAAACACTTCTAATTTTTATCTGGTTTGACATTTCAAACTTTGATATGAATATATTTTAAGAGGATTTTTGTTTTAAAATAAACTTAAAATATTTAAAAAATAGTTTTTTAAAAAACTAATTGAAACATCAGTAAAATGATTGTAATAAAAAATAAAATTGATAATCACAAAATAATGTATGGCTCAAAAATACCAAATTTCTTTGTCTTTTTAACACAATACATTCTGAAGATGGGAACAGTTTATATGCAATATAAATTTGTTGAATATTACACTTTTTCTATGAGGCTTTTCTCTAAAATGAAAATATGGCTATTTTATGTAAATTTCAAAAGTTTTATGTAAATATAGTCAACTGGAACTCTGCCAAATTAAACTTGTTATAAAAGTATACATATGTGATTTATTTATTTATTTAGCTATGTAATTTTAGTGTTTTGTGTATCTCATATTACATATATATATATGTAAAATATTGTTGTATATAATATTATTTACTAATAATTTATATATGTATGTATATTATAAATTATTTATAATATACATACATATATTATAAATTATTTATAATATACATCACATATATGTAAACAAATATCTAAATTCTTTCTCATTGAATAAAATTTTGCATTATAAAACAAGTTAACTAAGTTTAATTAACCTCATAATTACACTTGTGTCCAAAACGTAAGCAATGAAGCGGAAAAAGCAGATAAAAAAAGAAATATTTATTTGAAATAAGTGAAACTTTCAGATAGCATTGGGTTTAACAAAAGAACTAGTGTAGGAAAATACAAAGATAATGATCAATAAACAAATAAATAATACAGGTAAACAAAAACTGGATTTTGTGTGGCAAAAAAGTTCATTGGTGGAGGTCTGTCAATTCAGAATATGATCAATTTTGCTGGAAACACATGCTCTACAGTGTTGATTCCTGCCAAGAATAAGATAAACTAAGAACATACAGAGCAGACATGTTCTTAGCGCATAAAGGTTCTGGGGAGGGTCATGGATAGAAGCTAAATGTCTCCCAAGCATATCCCATACCTGCTCAATCCCAGCAAGATCGCCCAACTTGAATCCCATTAAGCATGCATATCCCATACATGCTCAATGGGATTCAAGTTGGATGATCTCACTGGCTATTCCACACAAAGCAGTGTTTCCAAGTCTAAATACTGGCCAACAATTCAATCCATGTGAACTTGCACATTATTGTCCATAAAAAATGGCATGAGGGCCCATTACTGCAAGATATGGACAAACATATTGTGCAAGGAAGTCATCTCTACATAGCACTGCAGTCACACTGTCGTGTAGGAAGATGTGAAGATTGTGCAGCCACCAACAGCAATTCCTATCCAAACCATTGAACCACTGCCTCTGTATCTGTCATTTCATGGCTGGGAATAACCATTGGGAATCAGTCTGCAGACCATACTCATATGTGAAGAGCATAGCACCCTATTGTCATGGAGACCAGTTGAGATGACCAGTTTAACTGGGTCCATCTGTGCAAGGGTATCAGTGGGATGCAAACTGTTGATCATCTTGGCCTGCATGTAATTGTCCTTAAAGCAGTTTGTTGAGATACCACTTTTCCTGTCATCACTACAAGATCCGAAGACAGCTGATGTGCGGCAATTGATCTGTAGTGTCATGCTTGCAGACACAGAAAACAGTCATCCTGAGTGATTGTGGCTCTTGGATGTCCACTTACTGGTCTTTATGACAATGTTCCTTTGCTTTGATATCAGTTCCAAATGTGGCAAATGATGGAATGATTGACATTTAGAACTCAGGCTACTTTCAATTGTTCTGTCCCCATTGAGATGCCCTATTGCCTGCCAGCACTAGACTATTCACAAGGTTTTTACTGGATTTGTTTAGATTTGTTTATTTTACTGTCCTAGTGATAATTTTTCCTGATACTTTCATTACTTTCATAATTTATTAAATTTAGAAAAGTAGCTTTGTTTTGTATGTTTAGAAATTGGTAGCATTATAAATAATTAACATAAAGCTAAATGTAATTTTATTTTTTTTTTTCTAGAAATGGAAAAAGTAGAAGATTGGAGTACTGCTGAAGTTTCTGTCTGGCTTGAAGAAAAAGGTTTTCATAATTATGTTGAATTGTTATGTGAACAACATAAAATTGATGGTAAAGCACTGCTTACTCTCACAGAAAATGACTTGAAGCAGCCTCCACTTGGGATGAAGGTTTGAAAAAATTTTTATTGATTTAAATAATGATAATGGCATACTTTAAATTTAATTACTTAGATTTTAAAGTTATCTGTAATCATTCAAATAATTAAAATGATTTTACTGTATTTGTCAGTCATAAATGAGACTAGGATGACTAGGCCCACTAAAAATCATATATTATATGAATTTTAGTGAACCTTAACTTATATGAATTTTTAACTATTCCTATGATTTTTACTTCCTGTATGTCTTAGCCAAGTTTGAATCCTGAAGATTGAATATGGAATATTTTTGTATGCACTATAAATTTTTTACAGTATGATAATTTTTCATTCTAACTCATATAAAATGGCAATAATGTATCAACAATAGCAACAAAATAAATCACTCAGTTTGAGCATATGAAATAAAAATAAAATATGATTACTATGACTCAAACACCTTATGCTTCCGAGAAGTAATATTTATTATCCTACAAACGTTTTCTACCTGCTCCACATGTCATCATCAGGTATTTTTGAAATTCTTAGAACATTTCTTTGCACCGGTTCCAGGTTTGAACGTTTATGCGAAACAAAATTCAAATTTCTATATCCATTTGAACAATTCGTTTAAATACAAAAATATAAAAGATAAATAGAACTAATTAAATACATGGATCCAAGTAAATAACTTAAAATAAAACAAAATAAATAAAGTAAATTAACATAAAATGCAATAAAAATATATATCCATACAATAAACATACAGTAGAGCGTCGTTTATCCGAAGGTCGGTTATCTGAAACGTCTGTTATCCGAAGGAATTCCAGTCGACAAATTTAAATTTTTGCCACTGCTGTGGCGCTGTAATCTTTGGCTATGTCTTTGGCTACTCAAATATTTTACGTTTTTGATACTAAATTAACTTCTGAAGTATAAGTTTTTATTCTTTTTATATTTATCAATATATTTATTTTGTTTGTACAAAATAAAAAAATAATTTTTAACGATACAATAGTCTTNTCGGATAACTTATTTTTCGGATAACCAATTATGTACGAAAAAATATATTAATTTATCCCGTGTTGATGTTTTTCTCCGTTGCGTGTCGCTTCGCGTTGAATTTTCGTCGATGTTAAGCCTAACGAAGACTATTGTATCGTTAAAAGTTATTTTTTCATTTTGTAGGAACAATAAAAATTTATTGAATAATATAAAAACAATAAAAAATTATACTTCAGAAGTTAATTTAGTATCAAAAACGTAAAATATTTGAGTAGCCAAAGACATAGCCAAAGATTACAGCGCCACAGCAGTGGCAAAAATTTAAATTTGTCGACTGGAATTCCTTCGGATAACAGACGTTTCAGATAACCGACCTTCGGATAAACGACGCTCTACTGTATGTTTATTGTATGGATATATATTTTTATTGCATTTTATGTTAATTTACTTTATTTATTTTGTTTTATTTTAAGTTATTTACTTGGATCCATGTATTTAATTAGTTCTATTTATCTTTTATATTTTTGTATTTAAACGAATTGTTCAAATGGATATAGAAATTTGAATTTTGTTTCGCATAAACGTTCAAACCTGGAACCGGTGCAAAGAAATGTTCCAAGAATTTCAAAAATACCTGATGATGACCTGTGGAGCAGGTAGAAAACGTTTGTAGGATAATAAATATTACTTCTTGGAAGCATAAGGTGTTTGAGTCAAAATATTCAAAAAATTTGAGTGTTTATTGAAATATAAAATATGATTATCTACATAAACTGATTTCTTGGCCTGCTGATGTATTATATAATAATAATATATTCTAAGAGGCACTATTTTTTAAATTAACTAAATATCTTTTTTATTTTGGCAGCTTTAAGTTGGAATTATTGCAAGTATGATATTATTGAATGATAACTTTTTATAATGGAAATGATATTTAGGATGATGATTTGTTTTGTAAATTATTTGAAATTTAAAATACTTGTTTTTAATTTCAGGTTCTTGGTGATATAAAACGACTTATGATAGCAATACATGAATTACAACACATCTGCTATAAAAATTGCAAACGTCTCTATTGTTTTGATGGCTTAATGCATGATCATCAAGAAATATTCAGAGAACATAATAATGAAAATGATGTAAAGAGATTAAGTACTGATGAATGTGATCTTCCAAAGGGGCATTTTGCTGTTAAGTCAAGACAGGTAGGCATAATAAATATAAATTTTTTAAAATTATATATTTACTTTTAATTTTATAAATAACGTAAATTTATATTTGCAGTGTCAAATTAAAAAATTTTTTAGGCTTATTTATGAATCTATTGTCTGTTATACAGAGAGAGTTTATATTTTTTGAATGCATACTAATATACAATTGCTTATGTGTAAAATTATTATGTTGTCATAATCATAAAAGTGAAATATAATTTATGTAAAAAAAAAATTATTTTGGAAATTGGATTTTTAATGATGCAAGAAAATTATTTTTCTTAGAGAAACAGATTCTTTAAATCTAAACTTAGAAATTTTCTTTTTGGAAAATCTAGTTTTATGGTTTGGATACAAAAAATAATGCCTTATTTTCTATAATATTTTGTTAAATATATATTAAATATTCCAAATGAGCTGATCCATTTTCTGTTTTTATTACAATACAAAAGATCTTAATCTAGAGAAAAATGTTATCATTATCTTCAATGCAATTAAATTGCCCAGTTTACTTTCATAGTGCAATTTATAAGATTTATCCAAATGTAAAACTTTACATTTCAAGGCTTAGATGATACTTTTAAAGACAATAAAATGTATTAAACAGTTGAAAGTCAGGCATAGTATACAACAGCTATGGATGGCTAATGTAGTCCTAGTTGTAAACTCTAATGGATTTGTGACAGCTTATCTTTTAAGATTTAATATCAATTTTTCTGTTGTAGAGATAAAGATTTTTTTATAAAGCTTTCTACTAAGCCCGAAATCTATATTCTGTATACTATTTATCCAAGTCCGTAAAAGAATTTGATTAAAATGAGTATGTATCACAATTGGATGTCCGAACAGTTTTGATAAGTACTTTGCACAAATGAGTCATTTTTTTTACTAACAAGTAGTTCGTCACATCAATTTATTTTAAGTTGACACAGAAACCATCTCTCCACTGTGATAAAAAGGAACAGTTTTGGATGTGGACGAGCAATGGTGTGGACACACATCAGGATTAGTGTTTGTACTTCACTGCATGCATTCTCACCTACTACAGATTTTTATTTAAGAAAAGAAGAACATGTTTGAGATCTATTTAAGATTTTTTTGGTCACAGATTTAACCAGAGGTGCTGAAAAGATGCTGTCTGTACATATAGTGTGATTTTGGAGATATTTGTAGTATTCAAATTTATTTTTTATGAAGGTTATATTTGAGGTCTTGTTTATAGGCAAATATTATCTGCAATGTGACCGAGGGGTCGGCACCTCTTTGGCGCCCTGTCAGGATGACACCACCGAGCCTCTAGGGGACTCGGAACTCGCGACGTTAAGTCTAAAGCTTCGCGAGCGGTAGCGTGTGAGCGCTTGGATTCGGAGTAGAGGTGAGGAGAGAGAAACGAGGAAGTGATTCACTCGATTCCAGATTAATAAACAATAACAAATTTATTTTAACGAGCAGGAGTACATGATATACGATCATAGACATCTTGGATTGATATATATATATCCATATTCTATATCCCTAGATTATCGAATCTAACTGTCGCGAGAGAGAGAGAGTTACAGGATATTCGCGTGTGGATAAATACCTTATAGAGAAGTCGAGGATTGATGACTGGATGATTCTCCGTCAGGATTCTTGGGGTGTTGGATGGAATGTTCTTGATATTTAGAGTGTTCAGGTAACAGGAGCAACTTCGGAGGGAGGTATCCGACTGGTGTTGAGGCACTTAGGTGGGTAAGATATACTTATGATAAGGTCGGCGGATGCACGATATTTTGCACGGTATAAATTCTTGAGCGGACGAACTTTGGAGGACGACTGACCTCGGGATCTTTTTTTTTTTCTCTTTCATTCCTCTTGGGGTTTTTCCCTGAGGTCAGATGATGGCTATTAACGGTCGCACGTCCAATATGTCTTCTCCATCAAAAGTTCCTGGTGACACATCCCTGACTAACTTGATCTGATTCAACAAGGAACAAACTCCGTGGGAAATAAGTTTTATGGCTTTTAGCCTAACGTTCGATTTTACTTGATTAAAGTTCCAATAAATAAAATTGAAAATAACACTTTACTGAGGGTTAGTTCGGCCCTCACAGCAACTAACTCAAATATTTTCTGGTATTTGTGAATAGTATTCATTCATATCTAGTTTTGAGCTATAAATTTATAAAATAAATTCCATCTTGCAATAAAAAATAAAAACACTGCAAAATTATGAAATTAAAAACGACTGAATTTTACCAGTTTTCGTTCTTTAAAAAATCAACTTTATTTGGTGTTTGTGTGCATGTATTGATATATAGCTCAATATGTTTATAAAATGGTAGTAAAGCTTTTATTTAATTTTTTTTATTCAATGGGAGAATTTGGAAAAAATTAATAAACGGAGATCACTAAATATGCTAATTTTTAAACTGGTGGATTAGTGTTAAAATTATATATAAATTACAGTTTGATAAAGTAGTTTTCTGTAATGTAAAATATTTGATTTAGGTTTTTAGTTTTATTTATAGCTTTTTTCTGAAGAGTTTATTAACTACTTTAAACGATGTTTTAAACCTAAACAATAAATAGTTGAAAACTATTTTGTCCTAGTTATTAGTAGAAATCTTCTTTACAGACATTGAGATGATGAATAATGTCAGCCATTATCATGTCCTGTCAAGAGCATCATTCTTGGACTGATAGAAAGCTGTTATTAAATGAGTTATCAGTCTGAATCTACCAGTCTGACAGTATGTCTGGTATAGTGAATACACAGATTGTTAACTGCTTATAGTGTGCTAATAATAATTTTATTGGAAAAGATAGTGTGATTATTTGAGCTCATTCTTCAAATTTGGCTTTGGACTGTTTTGTTTTAGATAAAATTACGAATACCAATGCTTATCGAACATCTTGGACAATTACCATTACTTACATTGTGACAATATTTTGGGTTTGCTATATATAAAAAGAACATTGCTCCTTACCTTTCTGCTTATATTGTAACATTCATTAATTTGAAGATAATTTATCGGTAAAGTAGGTGTGCTGGCCAAGATTTTAATTTTATCAAGAATCTATGATGAATTAGATTGTGTGTAAGGAAGGACCATAAATTAAATAAGATAGAATATTTCCATTAACTTAATAATCTCTCAAAAAATTTCTCTATATACAGTAGAGCATTGATTATCTGAAACAATTCAGGACTGGGATTGTTAAGATAACTGATCATTTATGAAAAAATAAATTAAACACAAACTGTACTGCATTCTTTTGTATCACACGTTTTACAAATACATACCTTACATAAAATAGTACATTAAAATAGGCCTACAGTTTAGGTTGGCAGGGAGAGGAAGAGTGCTGCAGCATCGGAAATTTGAATTTGCTGACTGGAGCACTTTTGGTTAACCGATGTTTTGGTTGATCGGTATTTGGATAATCGATGCTCTACTGTACTTAATCTGTTTATAAAGTTATTTATATAAACTGTTTCAAATAATTATATATATATATANAGTTTATTCTTATTATATTTAGTGATTGTTTTCTGAACTGAAAATAAATAACAAAAATTCTTAAATATTTATATTTTCTTTACAGTAAAGATATATGCTGGTGATTACGAGAGTGTTCTCTTATTTTTCATTTGGAGATATGTTTTTTTTACAAATTCAAAAGTCAAAATATATTTTTTTGATCATTAAAAAAAGAAAGTGCACACATTTACTCTTGCAAAATAGGTTTATATACAATTGAAAAGTTTTATGGAATAGTTTGAAGTAAATTCAATGTTTTCCCACTTTTGACTTAGGCCGCTTTCAAAATCACTGGCACATACATCAATTTATGCCAATTTTCCATATAAACGTATCATTGATTTACTTAAGTGAAAACAATAAATTAATAAATTATATTACTTTGTAAAAACAATGAAATGTTTATTTTTATTTCTAGCTGATGATAGAATATTTTATAATTAATTTTGTATCAATTATAAAATACAGTAGAATTTACTGTTTAGAACAAAAAAATTACTAATTCTAATTGTTGTACTCATTTTATAGACAAGTGTTTCACAAGTTCTAATGTTTTTTTTCCCCACTGAGTTGCAACAATGGAGTAAAAATAAAAATTTACATATGATTATTTAAAATATGATGAAAATCTACAGATGTAAATAGAACAGAGTTTAAAATCTTGAAAGACAATTAGTTATAACTGTGCAACTAGGTAGTAGCATTTTTACTGAGCTATTGTCCTATTTTATAATAAAATGCTCAAAAGGCCAAAGCTGAATTGCTCAAATTGGTTATTACTGTAAAAAATGGCAAAAGGTTTCTAGTACATAAAAATTGGCAAAAGGTTTCTAGTATATAAAAATTGGCAGAGCACATTTTGTAGAAACTATAATGCTATGGAAGAAACTATTTTTGGCATTCTTTAATAGTTTTTAGTAAATAAAATTAAATCAAAAGACGTTTGGATGTTAATACAGTAAAACCTCCATTAGTAGACACACTCAAATAGCAGATACCTCTAAATATCTACTTAATGGACTTTTTACAATCCACAGACCCTTCAAATAGGACATTACTAATATAAAAGCAGTTATCTATGTATGAATTCCTTATAATTCCTGCAATTTTTGTCCAATCAAGACAAAATTTTATATTTGTTTTATGTTTTGACAGAAAGTATAGGCTACTTATTTTGTGGAAATATCAGCTATAGAATAAATGTTTTATCGAGTTTGGATTGGTAAATGCACTTATGTTGTTGTAATGTCAATGACCTGATTTAGTTCATGATTGATGAGAGAATTTCACTTAAGTTGCACTTTTAAATATTTTGGCAAAAGGTGTATTTTAAACTTACTTCATTAAATTTAAACTTTAAAAAAGATAGCTGCATTGTGTCACTTCTATAACAAATTTAAAAAAAAATCTTTTTACAGTGACCATGCAACATTCTACTATCTAATTGGAAATAATGATCTAATGAGCCTGTTACTTAGAGAGTTATTGCTCAACTAACATACCATACAATACATCTTTGTTTTATTAACATGGAATTAAAAAGACTTACTATTTTGTATGAAAAAAAAGTGCCTAGGAGAAAGCTTAAGAGTAAAATTGGTCAGATAAATTCTATCTAAAAGAATAACAACAACTGAGATCACTGAAGGCTGTGAAGTCTAACTTGAGAAACATAGAAAAAGAATGGCTTTGTAAAGGGCTGTAGAAACAGCATCACAACGTAGAAATTTGTAGAAGTATTAGGAACTCTTATTGAATTTCTTGAAATCTCTACTGTTCTGAATTCTTCAATCTCAATTCTTCAGTTTCAATTATTCAATCTCTAATTCCCAAATAATAATCTTTATTTATTAGAGAAGACTAATCTGGTTAAGTTGTCAATCACCATTTATCATCATACATATTAATGTTGTTAAACTTATGAGTTATTATTGGAATTAAGCTTGTGGTATCAAGATAACATAAACTTTTGCAAAGTTATTCATTTATTCAACAAGAACCATAGGTAGTATAATAGTAATGAAAGTGTTTTAAGGTTAAGACAACAGCATTTATTTGGTGAAAGTTCAAAGATTGTGTTACAAAGGCAATTTGCCAACCACTTTAATTAAAGTAAGATATTAAGTTTTCTCACATTTATGACATAATTTATTATCTTAACAGCTTTGTGGTGGCTAAAGTATAATTTTTAATAAATCAGTTATTGCAGAAAAAAAAAGTTTTAAAAATTACATCTACTCGATAAGTACAAAGTAGACAAATCACTGTGTTGATTTTCATTAGTCACTTAGATCATATATGACGTTATAAATTCAAGAATGCCAAATACATTTCTTACCCCTTGAAGTGGCTAGCAAATCGCCTTTGTAACTTGACATTCAAACTCTCATGGCCTAAACCCGACCTTCATCCACCCTTCTTTTTTGTTATTTCTGCTAAGGTCATTTTTGATGAATTAATAATTAATCACCATTTACATTTTATCATAATTTTTATGTTCCATTTAATTAAAGTATTGTATACAATCTGTTTGCTATTTAGGATTCAATTAAAATGTGATTTTTACAGCCAAAAAGATAAATAATATACTGTATATACATTTTAATTATGTATGCTATGTATACAGGTATACTTCAACTTACATCGTTTCGAGTTATGTCGTTCCCGATTATACGTCGTTTGTCAAAAAAGTATACGAAAAAATAAAAATCAAGTTTAAGTCATTTTATTCGACTTTACGTCCGTCCGCCACAAATATTGAAGTCGTAATATCACTAGAAAAGCGTTTAAAGCACATAAAATCATATTAAAATATACACATTTACAAGTATGTACTGTATTTACAGTACAGTACCCGCATTCGTAAATTTATTTGTTTGTAAGCTTAAAATAGATTCTTATTAACCATATATTATTAAAAATGCATTAATAAATAAAATACAGAACTGGGAATAGTAATTTATAGTTTAGCCTAGTGACAAGTAGATTCGGAGACAAGTAAATTCGACTTACGTCGTTTTTCAACTTAAGTCGTTTTCCTGGAACCAATTACCGACGTAAGGCGAGGTATACCTGTACTTTGGTATTTTCACATTTCTAATGCAAATTTGATGCTCTTGTAATCCACCATATTTTTCACTATATGATAATCGTGTTAAAATGTAGTATGGCTGAGCATATACCTGCCGACAGCAGACACCTCTAAATAGCCTTCTCACTCACAATGGTGTGTGCTATTCAGAGGTTATACTATAGTAAAATGGCATGTAAAATAGTAAATCATATAACATTTAAAATTTAATTGCTGTTAAGAAATTATCATTAGCAAATTTTTTCTTGTTACATTTACTTAAAATTTCTTGATAAATTGTTACAACATTGTGGGTACACATTCATGATGACAGCAGTTGAAATCTTTAGTAGTTTCTCTGACTCATCTGTCAGCATAGAGAATGATACAGTAGAACCTCGAAAACTCGGCTCTCGATAACCCGGCANAACAAACACAGAAATAAATAACACAAAATAAATTGTAGCTATGTGTCGATTCTGCGCTACATGTCCGAACATGTAAGCTGAACAATAGTGTGGGGGGAGTGAGTAATCAAGAGTTGTATGGTGCTCAAACAAAAGACGAATCAACGAGATTTGAAAATTGTGTAAGTCGAGGTATTACTGTATTTACAAATTATAAATTTTATACATTAGTACTCTAGAAAAACTGTAATTTCATGTAATTACATACAGTTATGATTTTGATGATGATAAAATGGATTTAAAAACTAAAGAAATTAATTAATTTTAAGTAAATTTTGTAAATTTAAAACATCTAAATTCAATTTTTAAAATAAATTTACTACTATTTGCTTTATGATACTTTAATTAAAACCAAACAATCTGCTGAATTAACAAGCTTTATTATAGCCCGATAATTTGGCAGATTGTCCTGCTTTAATTAGAAGTTTTAATAACATTATTTAAATAATTTTATTTTTTTTTATAAATACTTAAAATATTTTTGTAATAAAAAATGTGTGTTACTTTAACAACATAAAACAATTTGCTTTGTAACATGTTTAACATTTTAAGTGATTCTTTTTTTTTTTAAATTGAATATTATGGTAAATAAATAATTACATCTTACTTTCAGCCAAGTAGTAATTGGTGGGAGAAAATTCAGACAGCATTTTTAATTTGGCAAGGTGGAGGAATGTATATAAAAGGTGTTAGAACTTGTGGAGATTACATGTTTAGTGGTCATACTGTTGCTTTAACACTTTTTAACTTTTTTATTACTGAATGTAAGTTATGCATTTATATTATCATTATTAATTTTTTCATATTATAAAAGTTTATATGAACTTGTGTAAAAATAAAATGCTTTTAAAATAATTTTAGATTTATTAAATATTTAAAAATTATTTATTCATAAACTTATTATTCAGATAAATGTTATTTTAATTTATTTTTTTTACAGAAAAAATAAAAAAGTTTATTGCTAAGATGCCTTCAAGTGTATATTTTATTTCTATAAAAGTCAAATAACTTTATTTTGTAATATTTCTAAAGTTGAATATTTATATATATTTTTTTTCATTGTAAAAAAATAACGTTATTTTAACAATATAAAGCAATTCGGTTTATAGTATATTTACTTTATATTTGTGTTCTTTAAATTATTTTTGATCAATCATTAATGAATTTAAATTTTTAAAACTTTTATAATATAAAAAGTCAGTTAAATTTAATTTTAAAATGATTGAAATTTAATGATTAGGTATAATTAGAATTAATTCAAACCTTTAAATTTTTTAGGAGATGGCAAAATCATCTATATAAATCATTTTGTAATTAATTAAATTTATCTTTAAAACACCACAAAAATGACCCATTTATTGTTGTTAGAGAAAAGAATTTCTACATCAAGTGCAATGTGAAGCAGTTAGAAAATCAAAGGAACAAATGAAATGTGTGGCACAAAATCAATCTGGATGTAGTTTTGGTTGATAAGTCTTATTTTACACTAGATAGCACTGAATGTGTAGGTAATAAAAGTTTACTATGATAAAGGATGGTATGTTATGTCAGAAGTGAAGTTCAAATGTCATGCAAAGATTTTGGTGTAGATAGCTGTAAACTGTCACAGGCAATTCAGACCTTCATTCCACCATTTAAACTTTGCATCAAGAACAGACTAGTCCCATTCTTAAAGAAGTGCTATCTGATTAGAGATTGTTTTGGCTCAATATGGCAATACCCAATAGGATCATGACAAAATTGCTACTCTTGACTAACATAAGACTTACAGTGCATTATTCTTTGTGAAAACAATGTGCTTAATATATACAAACTGAAAACAAGTAAACAGTTTCTGTACCAGTTAAGCAGAAAGTGTATGATGAAGGATTTAAGGCTAATTCTGTACACAACTTTGCAAAAGAATTCACAATAAACTCTGCCAATTTACAACTGAGGACTTCCAGAACTTTTTGAGACATAAAATAAAGTTTGAAAGGCAGCTGTCATCTTTTGACAAATTTAATAATTAAACTAATTTTATTAATTTATAATTTATAATTATAATTGTCATCCAAAGTTGACAATGTGAGTAACCAGTAAAGTTATATCTAAATTATTAATAGTTCTAGAAGCAAAGATCAGAATGAGATCCAGGTAGCATAACTGGCAATACATCTACACGACAAGCAGAAGTTGTGGGTTCGAGTTCTGTTCCGGGCCAATTCTTTTCTTCCAGAACTTTCTAAATCATAAATTTATTTATAAATATTAAATTTATGAAGAGATGGTGCCTAATGCCAACCTCCACACAAAATTACAGTACTTAATTATTAAATAGTAGCCATATTAGAGTCAATATAATCCAGCAATTGTTTCTACATTAAATTAAACATTTACATATACCATTATGAAGCTAAATCTTTAACATGATATATTTATATGAAATAATCAAAATTTCAACAAAAACATTAAAATTCTTTACACAGATATAAAAGTATTTGGATTAAAATCTTTGTAGAAACGTCCACAATAAGACGTTTTTATATTTTTACATAGTGAAAGTTATTTGAAGTTTCAAGCTTTAGACTTATTATATTTAAAAACTAATTTTTTCTAATCATTGATTTTGATTGAAGATGAATAAAGTGATTTAGAAATATCTGGAAACAATCCAATCACAGCTGAACTTAAACATGAAACTCTTACTAGCCAACAAGAATATTACTTTATTTGGCCTCAGCTTAACCTAAACAATGGAGTCTGTGTCTTCTTATTGGTGGCAATATTGCTATTATACTGTATTATTCCCTCAGTTTCGAAGGATATTTAATTTTTTAACCATATGCGCATGGTGTTCTGTAGTTTCTCTAACTCATTTATTGATGAAACAACATAACTTTTTCAACTAATTGTGCATGGGGTTAACATTAAATCTGTATGGAAACTGGTAGAATGATATAATAGCACCACCACCACCATCAACGAGAAGCCACTTTATAAATGCTTTTGTGGCAAGTTTAAGTTGAGACCAAGTATAATTACTCCTTAAGAGTTTAATGCTCTCATATTTGAACTGATTTGGTCTCACTTCATAGTTTTAAGACCTTTATTCGCCATCAATTTTCCGTTACTACTCTGCAGTTGCAACTTTCAGTATTTTTCAGCAACAATAATTTCCCAGTTTAATATGAAATAATCAATTTCAAATTAGATAAAAAATAATCATTTATTTCTATTTAGTCTATCAAAAATCCATAAATTTTACTTTTAATTGATATTAAAATCAGTTCTGTTTATAATAATAGTATTTAGATACTAAATCATCAAAATATATGTTTAAATTTTTAAAGTTTTCCTCTATTAATGGGAGATAAAATAAATTAACCACATATGTTCAAATCCTTTCTTAACAAGGTGATTTTTAAATGTAAATAATAATAATAATTTTAGATTCATTTGATGGATATTGAATTATTAATAATTCGAACTTATAACAGTTGAATCATCATTTTAATAATGAAATAAACTTTAAATTTAATTAAAATTATTAATAATTTTAGTTAAATTTGAAGTTTGTATATTGTAAAGAATGTAGTTCCTCACAATATACTGATATTCACTTATTTTTATAGGATCTGAATGAAATATTTAAATTTTTAGTTTCTGTATTGTAAGTTTTGAGTTCTATAAAACTTATTATTTTAATATGATGATTAAAAAAGTTTTTATTTTTCTTTCAGATACACCTGCAAGTATGTACTATCTTCATACATTTACATGGGTAATGAATCTTTTTGGTATCTTTTTCATACTAGCAGCTCATGAGCATTATTCTATTGACGTCTTCATTGCTTTCTACATATCGACACGTCTGTTTCTGTATTATCATACTCTAGCAAATAATAGGGCGCTTATGCAAGATGATAGTAAGAGAACTAGAATATGGTTTCCATTATTTTATTTTTTTGAATCTGGAGTTGATGGAATTGTTCCCAATGAATACGAATGGCCTCTAAGGATTCCCAAATGTTTTAAAGCTGTGCAGAAAAAACTAAAAGCGTAAATTATTATGTACATTAAGATTATTTTTCTAAAAGGATTCTTTTCATTGTGATTTATTGGTTGACATTGTTACGTATACATTGGCTATCAAATTAATTTGTTTTCATATAATTAAAATTTTATTTTACATAAAATTATCATAATCCAAAATTTCATATGGGTTACAAAAGGGACAACAATAGAATAATAATTATTTAACAATTTAATAAATATATATTTGTCATCTGTAAACAAGACAATGCAAGATGTACAGTACACGTGCTTATTAATGACTGTTATTCGGTAATTATTTAATTTTTGAATATTTGATCAGATATCATGCTAGTTTAAATAAGTTCTTTATAAAAGTCCTATATACAGATAAATATTTCATTGAAGTATATTTAAAGATGTAAAGTTTATAATGAATACCACAAATTAATGCTGGCTTTGATACATGTCGACTTCTTGAAATATGATTTTAGTACAAGAGAACATTAAAAAGGAATTGCATTGTAAATGTAATTTTTTAAATCTTTTGTGCTTTCAATTTCTTTCTGTATATTTTGCATTTTATGAATTATTTTTGCAAAAATCTTATGATTCTTTTTTCTTTTTTATTGAATTGTTTCTGCAATATTTTTCATTGATAATTAAAAATGAATACGATATGACTGGAAGTAAATTATTAACAAATGGCAAATGTGTGATGTTAGTACTCGCTAGGTTATTTATAAAGTAAATATAAGGAAAAACTATGTATTTGAATTTAGAAAAAAATTTGATTTTATAAATATATAACAAATAGATTATCCAAATTCAATTAATATTAATTTTAATTAACTATATAAAATGCACAGAATACAGATGTCAAATTCAAATTGTCTTGTAATATTGCCAAATTATACTGGAGTTCTTGGGTGAAAATCAGAAAATTGGTCAACAATAATGGGTTAGATTTTGATCATTGGACAAAGTAGGTTTTAATCTGTCCATTAAGTACTTCATTTACATTGGATATACATTTATACAAGAGTTGATCTGTCAGTATGATGCTAAAATGTGTTGTATTGCATCTCAGTTACGTGNTTTATTCATTGTGTAAATTTAAATAAATTTACACAATGAATAAAAAATTTAAAAATTTTCCAATACTTTCATTAATTAATATGCATGTGTGTGCATAATACTGGAAAATTTGACAAGTTGTAGTAGTAGAAGTAGTAGTCCCTTTTGTCTAGAAAAGTACACAGTTTAAAATGAGCAGAATAATCTTTTTTATTGTCTTATTTACAAAAGAATAGCCACCTTCTGCTATTGGACTGTTTTCAGAAAACAGTTGAGGTGAGTCATTGACATTGGAAAGTCAAAGAAATGATTATTTTGACAGTGGAGAGGTAAAATTACCAGATAATCAAAGCACACGGTCAAAATTCATAATTCTATCAGTAAACAGTTGATAAAAAGATTATGTTGTTGCTAAAAAATGTACATTTATAAAGATAATTAAAATGCAATATTTATTAAAGTATGTTTCTTGTCTTTATATATTAATTTATTTGAAAATCCATGTGCAGTGTTGTTCTCACTAGATGTTAATTAATCCATTTGCTGTAATAAAATTATTTTAAAAGGCCATTACTTAAGATGGAAAACAGCCATTATGTGCATGGGTTAGTAATTTACACAATCTATAAAGATATTTAAGTCGAGAAACATGAAAAATATACATGGTAAAAAAGGAAAAAGCCATAGCAAGTCTTAAAACAGCAGCTTTCTGCACATCAGAATGCAAACCAATGAACTAGATAATTTGCCATTGTTGCTGCTTATTAGTGTTTACATTAATTGTATCTTTTAAATAAGATAAAATCTTTTTATGGAAACAAAGAATTTTGTAGAAAGACCATCAGTATGTTTATCAGGAAGGTAATCATTATAACATGACGTCTCTCTCATTAAAAAGTGGCATTAATAATTTCCAACCTTCTCCTGATAGATATTTTAATACCTTTCCTCTTTATTCTACTTGTTAAGGAAGCTAACCTTGTTAAAAACTGTTCCATTCCATATTCTGGAAGTTTACAATGAATACACTTTTGGCTGATGTTGACTAGTATAAAATGATTCCCATTGACTTTATAGTTTTTAACAAGGTTTGCTTCCTTAACAAGCAAAATAAAAAAGATATATATTTTTATTTCAGGAAAATGTATTCATTCCTTTATACAAAAATATTTCTGAAAATTTTAAAATGATAATTTTTGAAGATTCTAAAATATTTTAATATCTGGGCAAACTATTTGTGTTAGTTTTCATTGAATTTTCTTCTTAAAAAATATTTTTCAAAATTAATTATGATAAACTTTTTTAGGTTTGTTTTATTACGACGTATGTTTTCCTTATTTGGCTCTGTGTTTCTACTTCGTTGTATAACAATGCTTATTACATCACTTTCTGTACCAGGAAGACATTTGGAATGTAAAGCAAGGGTACGGATTGTTTTTAGTAATGAGGTATTAGCTAATAAATTTTAATATTTAAAATTTATTGTTTTATTTGAAATAAAATAACTACTGTATTGCCTTAATTCTAAGACCCAATTTTACCTATTTTTACTTGACCAAAGTAGAGATACATTCTTGATTAGATGATGTCTTACATTTGCAGTCCAAAACAAGCAGCAGTCATTGCAAGTATTGATGTATTATTTGCCATTAATAAACATTTTTGGCTATACTATTAAATGATTACATCAGTTAAATGTACTTTTCTTGTAATAAACATTTCATTTAAACTATCTTGATGTTTAAAATATATTTATATTGTTTTTCTAACTTGTTCATTAACTTAAAATTGATTATTTAAAACTTTTTCCTTCATAAAAAAAATCTTAAAATTGGGTTTCAAACTCATGAATTGGCCTTAGAATTGAGGAAATATGGTATATTTTAAAATAAATTTACTAAAAATAGATATTTTTCTGACATATTGCTAAAAAGTTGCTAGACATGAATGTTATACGAGAAGTTGTAATTAATCTGAATTGAAGATAGTGTTTGTTATAAGATTACTTTTATGTATTAGCTATTCACTTTGCTTTAAAATTTGTTTCTTTGTATTTGTGGAAAGCAATGCTCCTAAGAATAATTAAAACCTACTCATTCAAGCAATAATAAAAGCATGAACCTAATAAATTATAATTAATAAAATACAAAAATATAAAAAAATGCAAATCCAAAATAAAAATTTACATAATTTAAAATGAAGGAAACTCAAATGAATTATTTTTTCAAGAATTTATAAAAATACAGTTGCCTAAAAAAAATTATTGTGAGAAGTGAAAATTACTATTAAAAAGAAAGAAAAAATCTCATTAATTATTGTTTATCAATGTCAGTTATTCATATGTCACTTTTCCAATAGTCTTATCTGTTTAATTATTCATTATCTATTAATTATGCATATCATTTCTTTATTTTAAATAACAACCATTGATAATTACAGTGCATGAAGTATGAAGCAGTTTTTATAGTTAATTGTTTATCGTGTTTTTTAGCACATAATCATGTAATTAGGCTAAATAANTAAGACTGAAATAATTATAAGAATTAATTTTCGTATATCTTACATAAGATAAATATATATTAATTTAAAAATTTTTTATTTCTTTTAAAAACGTATATTATAAACTTTAACAGAGTTTTAAATAATTACGTAAAATTTAATTAAAGATTTTATTAAATTTAATTCAGTTAGTAATATCAAGATGAATATTTCAATTTTATTCTATTAAGGTTGAAGAAGAGAAAACGTAAATAAATTTTAAATAATTTACTTTATGATTTACATATAACGTATTTTTATATTATTTTAAGTTATTGGAATGATCTCGATGCAAAAATTACTTAAAAGTAAGCTTGTTATTAAAATGAATTGTGAGAATAAACAATTAATATTTGTGATAATGATTCTACTTTGGTGTAATAAGTTACAGTTTAAATTAAATTAAATTGCTATTATTTATTTCTTAAATATAATTTGAAAACAATATTTACTTATAAAAAGAGTACAGGAATGTACTGTACTACACATCTTATAATATATTTGCTCTAGAATTTCTTCGCTAATAAGATAAATTCGGACATATTTACTCAACCGTTATTTCATTTTATCATATTTTGGGTCTTAAGTTATTATCTACGTAAATATCGAAATTTTAAATAATAAAAGTAATCTTCTATATCTTTTAAGAAGATTAACTATTATTAAATGGGATTTTCAATATTCGACTTAAAATCTTCGCTTTATCATCATATTTTATTTTTAAATTTTATCTTTAATTAAACTTTTAAAAGATGAATGAATTATTGTTTTATCTTTAAAATTAATTTCTAATTTTTAAAGTTAAGACATAGAATTTCTTTTAAGGATCAATTTGTTAAATAATTGAAGTTTGACGATTTTAAATTATATTTTAAAATTATTAAGAGTTTAGCCATCTAAATAACAGATTGCTTCTAATATTAATATACATGTATATTAATCAGTATTGCTTTCAAACAATGAAGTAAACAAATCTCATTCTTCTTCATTTGTTATTTTCAAAATAATTAAAGAATTATATGTTCATTTTCATATCAAATTTAAGATAAGTATAAGAGCACCAGGATTAACACAGGAAACTTTTAAAATAATGATGAAAACTCCATCACTATAATTTTAAGACGTGTTGATGAAAAACGCTAGTATTCTTATGATTATAATTTATAGTTTTTCATTAACTAAATATAAATTTACACTCCAAAAATAGATAAAAACACTGTTCGGCCATCACACTTTCCCCTGCAATGTTAATTAAAGATTTTTGTAATCTGTGTATGCAGTAGAATCTACTCTCCTTTATACAATAAACTTCTTCTTTTTCGACATTGTGGCATTTGCCTCCATTCGACAACAACGAACTTATTACAAACTTTATCTTACATAATTAACGATTTCGAAAATAAGCAGCCATGTTACATAATATGCAGTATACCAGTATTGATGTAAGCAGTGCATTCGATTCTGTATTACTTAACTCTTTCAGCGCCAATAGCTCCTATTCTTTGTCGAAAATTTCGGAAAATTTGCAGGGAGGTTTGCGTATTAGAGTGATTGATGCTATTAAATTTTAGTAGTTAAAGGTTGAGGGTGGGGAGATAATGGAAATCGTGTTTATCTACAGTAGGGTCGGACTTAATGGCAATTTTACTCGTTATTAGCATTTAAAATTGTTTATAAAACTCGTCTCTTTTCTCAAAATTAAGCTTTTTGCCATTTTAAAATAGTTAAAAATATAAAAAGTTTTTAAAATAAGATATCATAAAAGATGGCGCCACACACGAAGTATTAAATGTTGCTGGAAAAGTTGAGCAAGTCGTTGCTGGTTTACATATTTATAAAAGTATTACTAATGATAATAATAAATGATTGATTTTAGTTATGAATAAATTTGTTTATACGTTCCTAATAAAATTTAAAAATAAAATATTTTTCATTAGTGATGTATTAAATTAATTCGAAAATACAGTGAAACCTGCTAATGTGACCACTGAAGGGACAAGTTTAAAGTGGTCATCTTACACAGTTCGTTACCTTATGCAGGTGATTACATTAACAAGTTTCTCTGTTTAAACCAAAAACTATTTAAATATTCATTTAAAAGGCGATACGTTGAATACTGTTGCCAATTACACATATCAATACGTCCAAAAAAATGGTTATAAACAATGATACAAACAATTTTCTCAAAAAAACTTTTAAATAGAAAATAATATTTAATGTGATATGAAACTAAGTAAAAGTGAACACAGAATAACATTTTCTAACTTGAACAAATGAATTCATTTAAAGATGTTTTAATGGCATTTGTGCAATAGTTTTTAGTTTAATATTCTTTTCCAAATTTCATCAATTTTCGTTAGTTTTGTTCCGTTGATTCGTCGTACAATGCAAACAGGATAAAGTGTGGGATGTTTACGTAGAGAATGGACATTGACGGATCTTACTGAATACTTTTAATTGTGATCAGACTGCATTGCCAAG